GTATCACTCCTCAATAAGTATCAGGACAACTGCAAAATTCAGTAAACAAAATCTTAATTCCAATAAGTAAAAAATTACAAAAATGCAACCCTCACCTTCCCTAACAGACTTTCTTATTTATCGTCTGTCTTCTCCACTATGAACATAAGCACCGATAGGGGTAGGGATTTTGTTCAGGGCTGGAGCACTTGGAACTGGGTCCAGCATACACAGGGTACTCACAAAAACTTCCTGTTGAATGAATTACTAAATGGCTGTGTGAAGGGCGGAGGGAAGAAACATAGGGCTGAGGATGGGAGCGGGGGAGAGGGAGTGAAGGAAACTTTGATTCTAACTGGAGTTGGTTTTTTTTTTAAAGTTTATTTATTTTTGAGACAGAGAGGGTGCGCGTGTGAATTAGGGAGGGGCAGAAAGAATCCCAAGCAGGTTCCTTGTTGTCAGCACAGAGCTTGACGTGGGGCTTTATCTCAGTGAACCACAAAATCATGACCGAAGCCAAAACCAAGAGCAGGATGCTTAATGGACTGAGCCACTCGGGTGCCCCAGCAGTTCTAACTTTTTAATATATGAAAGATTTAAAACAAATGTAGCAAAATGTTAAAGTTGAAATATTAGGTGGTAAGATATGGATGCTTTCTTGGGGGAGGGCATTCTTCTGTATTTTCACAACTTCTCAAAACAAAAAAATGTATGCAAAACATTTAACAGTTTTCTGACAAGGAAACAAAGATTAAGTGACTTACTCAAAGTTGATGATCAGCAAGTTGCTGATGAGGGGGGCCTAAAATCCAGTTTTCTAAGTCTCTTTTCCCACAGAGGGGCCCAGCAGGTGCTGCATATTAAATCACGTTATTATTAAATCATGTTGTTAATGGTATGTACTTACCTATATAATGCTGCATAATACCGATCTGATATTGTCTGCTGAGAATTCATTACTTGGAAAAGCAACATTAAAGCCTGTACACTGGTATTAAAATTCACAACGTGCAACACTTTAAAGAGCGTGTCAACCTGCTCCCTCACTTTGTCATCACCAGTCTGGGCATAAGGGTATGCTCTGTTCACTCCTGTTAAAAGGGCACTAAGCATTTTTGATTCAATATCTTTTTTCTTGATACAAGTCCGAAAAAAACAAAAATAAAGAGTAATTAATTTATTAGCTAATTCACTTTCTTAATGGGAAAGGACCATTTGATTTAAAAAGCAAATTGCATAATATTGCGCTTTGGGGCTGATATTTGAGCGAAAGAGCAGTCTTTCTACTTCACCACATACAATTCCTTTCATATTCGGATGTTTAGAAAGCAGGGTCTCTAACAGATGGGAGGCTTTTGTCGCTATTCTGTTCTGAGGGTCTCCCAGTTTATTTACCAGCTGCACAAGAAGAGCCTTTTCTTCCTCTGGCTTGTTACAGAGAAGCTCATGAGCTGCCACAAGTGCTCGAGTTTTAGTGGCCACTAATGAATCATGACTTAAAGTTTCTAAGACCTGCACAAATTCAGCCACTAAATGTTTCAGCTGGTGTTCAAAATACCATAATATCAGCCTTCTGTCTCTTGAGTCTTTGTTGCCGCTGGACAGCTGTTCCAGTTTGTTGAAAGGGTGCTGGCTGAAAATCCGCAGCTTCCGACTGTCTGGCAAAAGGTCTGTAATGAGTAACTCTTTGAAAGTATCCAAAGCCATGAGGCACTGCTGTTTGCTGCCCTTCTTTTTAACAAGGCTCAGCAGGGTTTCTACAAACTGCAGTGTGTGAATAGCATCATCCTGAATAAGGAGAATCATGGCTGCCATCCTGTCACCCAGCGTCCCTGATGACACAATTGCCTTCATCCAGGTAGAAGAAGCTCCCTTTTGATTATTTGTCTTATTTTTGAATAAGCTGATTTCATGCTCATACAATTTCTGAGCCAAGGTTTTGTACTTAGACACAACTTCCCGAGGCTGGGGTTCCAAAGAGTATTCATTGCTGTACTCTAGATCATACCATTTGCCTCCAGGCTTGAGCAACAATGTTGGTCTCTCAAAAAATTCAAAGATGTCCTGTTGTTTATCTTTAATTTTTGGTGTGGCACTGTTGTTCTCACCAGAATGCTGTTCTGGCCTTTTCTTATTTTTCGCCTTACTAACTGACGTCCTTTCACTTTCTCCTGCATTTTGCTTTTTTTTATCTACTTTAGATACTCCTGCTTCTTTTTTGCTGGCATTTTCTTTTTTAGCCGGTTCATCTTCTTCAACCAGGAAAGCTTTTGCATACTTGGCCAAACTAAGATTTTGAATAAATGCTTCTAATTCACCTTGCTGAAGGTCATCAATTGCTCCTTTTTTGCCTCCATCCACCACTTCCTCATTTTCATCCAAGGTAGCCAGCATAAGGTAATCTTGCTGCATTAAAACATAAATTGAAAATAAATTACAAATCCAACAGTTTAGGTAAATCTCAAAAGTTAATTTGAAATCTATATCTTTAAAATCAATTAAATTCAATTATCATGGTATTGCCTGGGCTCCCACCCCACAACCAAATACATACTTAATGAATTAAAAATTTAAATGTGAAAAATAAAACCATAAAATAATAAGAGAATGCACATCATAATTCAAATAATTTCAGAGTAAAGAAGGCCTTTCCAAATCTGACATAAACTGCAGGCCCTAAAAGGCAAAGATGGGTATAACTGTCTTTCACAGAAAACATGCAAAACTCAAAACACAAACATGGGAAAACAATAATAGCAACCGACATCAAAGTAATTGGGCCTAATATTTAATATAAAAGTTCCTACACATCAGTGAAGGAAGTGACAACCAAAAAGATTTGCAAAGGAGATAAACAAATGGTTCACGGGGAAAAACATGTTGTTGTTTTTCCCCCAAAGAATGACAAGATGCTCAACCTCATTGACATTAAGAAAGATCCAAATTATGGGGCACCTGGGTGGCTCAGTTGGTTGGCTATTCAGCTTTGGCTCAGATCATAATCTCACGGTTCGTGGATTCGGGCCCCTAACAGGCTCTATGCTGATAGGTCAGAGCCCACTTCAGATCCTCTGTCCTCCTCTCTGCCTCTACCCTGCTTGTGCGCACACTCTCTCAAAAATAAATAAAACATTAAAAGAAAAATCCAATTTAAAACCACCATGATATATCCATTTTCTCATGTCAGATGAGAAAAGTGTCAGATGAGCAAAGATAAAATTATGACAGGTGGTGTTAGGGAGAGTGCGAGAAACAGGCACTTTCCTACATGGCTGATGGAAACATAAACTAGCAATTTGCTGCCTTCAAATCAAAATACAAGACACACATCCTTCGATCTAGCAGTTCCATGTCTATCAACTTAGGTATCCATACAATGTGGGAGAGGATGTATTTTCAAGGTTATTCACTGAACCATTATTTAAAATAGCAAAAGACTGACAACCTAAATGTTCACAATAAATGGTTGGTTAGACAGATTAAAACAATGATTTTTTTTATACTTTATTGCCAAGTTGGTTTCCATATAACACCCAGTGCTCATCCCAACAACTGCCCTCCTCCATGCCTGTCACCCCTTTCCCCTCCCCCCCATCAACACTCAGTTTGTAAAACAATGATTTATGCAGGCATAAAACCAATGATACAACTGCATATACTGATATGGAAAAATCTTTAAGACGGCAAGAAAAAAAAGAGACACAAAATATTATACAGAATGGTAACTTGTGTGTAAAAAAGAACGTGAGTGTGTGTGCGTGTGTGTGTATGTTTGCTTGGAAGATACACAAGACACATAAAAATAATTGGTTCCTGGAAGGGAGATTGCATGGCTGGAGATGAGTGAGAAAGAAGACTTTTCACTGTGTAGTCCTCCTTTTTTAAAAGAACCTTTTTGTAGTATCTGAAATATCACATATTCAAAAATTAAATACAACCCAAGTATAGGGAAGACTGTGAACCTGCCCCTGTAAATTGCATTTCTCCTGCCCCCAGGTCTCCCCCCCCAACCCCCCAAGCTGTAGCCTCAAAACATTTACTAAAAAAATAAGCCAAATTCTGCCAGGTATTTACTCCAAACCTTTTAAGATTTAACTCAGAGACAGGCCTACATTCTTACCTCCCTGACTGCATTTCTTACTCTCCCCTTACCTCAGTGGGCCTCAGCTACACTGACATTTTTCTTGTTCAGAGAGCAGCTCACCCCTTTCTTTCCTAGTTTTATGCCTGATCACCTCACTTGAAACGGTTACGCCTTGTCCACTCATGATCCTCTTTTCTGGTTTTCTTTTTCTCCAAGGCACTACTCAGCAGCCGATGTTCTTTGCTTTCCAAAGTTGGTTACTGTTTCTTTTCCTTAATTAGGATGTAAATTCCAAGAGCGCAGAAAGCTTCTTGAGCGCACAGTAAACACATGCGTGTACTCCGTAAGAACGGAAGTTAACATTCCAACCATTCTGGAGTAGAGCACACTGATGCCACGATGTCAGGACCCAGAAAAGGTCAGTCCTCTCTGACCTGATGGAGTGCCAGTTATCCATCAGTGAAATGAGAGGGTCACCTACATCCTAAGAAAGGACAAAGCGTACACACGTTCATTTCTAAAGCACGCTTCTCTTGTAGAGAGCAGAGGAAAAGAAGTGCAGGAAGGGCACAACATACGTTTCGAGGCTGGAATCGGGGTTCAGGATCCCCTCTCACGCCACTCGCCCGATCACTCGCAAGACCACCCCTCGCGCCTCTGTCCCCTTGTATGAGAGTTGGAGGCCATTACCTTGGTGCCTCCAAGCCGTAATACTTCCTCCAGAGAGAACCCATTTTCGGCTTCATCGTTATCCTCTTCGCTGTCTTCGTCCGGATCTTCTACCGCCTCCTCTCCGCCCCAGGGCCGCTTGGCATGGAACTCCAAAGGCTTCTTGGAGGCCGCCATTACCAGCAGAGCACGCGCACACGGCCCACGGCCTCCTTCCGTTTGCCCGAGTGACGTACTTCCTGCGGGGGCGTGTCCTCCCCAAGAAAATGGCTTCACTGCACGCCCTGGGACTCGGCGCAGCTGCCTGAGACGGTCGGCATGAGCGTCCTTGCGAGGGTGGGCGTGGGGCCGCTGTGCGCCGCGGCTCGCGCGGGTAAGCGTTCCCCGAGCCGGAGCCCCGGCTGTGGGAGAGACTGGGGCGCTCTGTGGTGCAGACGGGTCCAGCCTCAGACCCGAAATAGCTGTGTGGTCGCGGGCACCGTGCGTGCCTGCCGGCGCCGGGTGGGCGTGCTTCGTGCGAGGGTTAAGAGTTAACGCAGCTGCTTCGGAAGCTGCTTGCACTTGCAAACAGAGATTTTTTCATGCTCCTGTTTAACTGTTTTTCGCAGTCATGCCCTGTTTTTGGAGAGGGAAGTACTTCAGTTACGGGAGAGAGCCAGCCGCAAACCAGGTGACACCAATGCTGCGGCATCTTATATACAAAATCAAAGCAACTGGCCCCATCACTGTGGCTGAGTACATGAAGGAGGTCTTGACCAACCCCGCCAAGGTACGGGTCCGGGAGCCTGAGCAGCAGGCCCGCTCTAGCCCTCTGAGGTGTGAGCCAGGAGGGGTGTGCACAGGGAGGCCCCAGGGTCCTCAGTCCGGGCAGTGGTGGCCCCTTCTCCAGGGGAAGAGCCACTCCCGAAGACTTGGAGATGGAGAATTAATAATTAATGTCAGGTGGTTAGAGATGGATCAAGTCAGTGACAGTGCCGGGGAGGGGGAACGAATTCCAAAGCTGTTCAGAAGAGGTAGGTTGTAACCCATTGAATTTAGGAAAGGAGGGTCAGGATGTCTTTCCTACCTGGGCTGATTGATGGTAGATAGTGGTGTCAGTTCTCTGGGAGAAGGGAATGCAGGAGGAAGAGCAGCGGCCTCTTTAAGACGGAGGGGAAGGACAGAATTCAGTCCGGTACATGAATCTGAAGTGCAGATGGGACTCCAGGGGAAATCTACAGTAGGCATCTGGAATTACGAATTTAGTGCCTGGAACATTGTCTGTGTTGGGATGGCGTTAGCAGGCATGGGAAACATATTTTGGGTTTTCTTGGGAATGGAAGGTCTAGGTCTTTCTTCTTCGAGGATTAAGCACTGCCCCCTGCTCTCTGTCCCGTATTTTCTTGTCTGCTCAATAAAGCCGCTTGGTGAAAGCCTGTGGTTCTTTTGTTTTAGAATGTTTTACCTTTTAGTGGGTCGAAATGTGAAATCTGCATTTCTGGGGTTGGCTTAGCCTGTTGCTGTTGGATGTGGTGGAGTGATCCAGAGTCCAGAGGTTTAATAAAAGCAGGGGTACTTAGATACCTGTAGTCCGTGATACTACATACCAACAGTTCACATTGGGGCAAACTTTAGAGCAAACATCTGTTCATTCATTATTTATTCAGGTTCCGAAAGGACCAGGCACTATGTCGGGCACTAGGGGTGCCGCAGTGGACAGTGGAACATGGCACTTACATTGTACTGGGGAAATGATCTATAAATGAGGAAACAGGATAATTATAAATTGTTGCCAAGTGCTTCTGAAGGCAAGGGAAAAAACAAAAACATATCTGGATGGGATTGCAGATATGTAGTGCATTGGGAGTAGGGTTGTAAAAGTTCCCTTGGCAGGTAGGTGGCTGAGCCTGATCGTTGAGCCAAAGGGGGTGGGGGAGATCCACAGAACCATCCCGGAACCCATGGGGATGGGCCAGCCTGGCAAAGACCTGGGAGTGAGTTCCCAGGAGAGGAAGGGAAACTACAAAGTTTGTGAGCTGGGAAATGTCTTGGCATACACAGAGAACAGAAAGGGAACAGTGTGGCTGGTGCGTGGTGACGGTGGGGGGGGGCGGGTAATGGTGAGGAAGATAGATGAATTTGCAAGAGGAGCGAGTTCATTCAAGGCTTTCATGGAATTTAGATTTTTGTGTCAGTGCAAAGGGAAAGCATCGGGAGGTGCGTTTGGTGCGTATTGGCAATGACATCCAGGTGGAGACAGCAAGTGAGGGGTGGGCCATAAGAGTCTGGAGTTCTTGACAAAGATTGGATATGAATATGTTAATTTATTCACCAGTATATAGATAGCGTTAAAATCCAAGGAATTTGGAAGAATATATTTAGAGAACAGAAGGTTACCCAGGATTAAGCCTTGAGGTAACTGTCAAATTTAGAGTAGAGGCTTTTTTTTTTTTTTAAATCGGCCTTAATTTTTATTTAAAATTTTGTTAAACTTTTTTTTTAATTGGAGCATAGTTGATACAATGTCACAATAGTTTCAGGTGTACAACATGGTGATTTCGAGGACTGTACCTTATACTATGCTCAACACAAGTGTAGCTAGCATTTGAAAGTAGAAGTTCTTAACCTAGGGGTCCTTGAATAGAAACCAGGGGCTCTGAACTAGTATAGGAATAAAAATTACACTATTTGCATTAGCGTCTCCCCTCCCATTTTATTGAGAAATCATTGACATGCATCACTGTATAAGCTGAAGGCATACAGCATGGTGGGTTGATTTGCACGTATTGTGTCATTACCACAGTGAATTCAGTTAACATCCATCTTCTGATATAGGTACATTAAGAAGAAAGGAAAGAAAGAGGGAAAAATTTTTTTTCTTGTGATGGGAACTCTTAGGATTTACTTTCTTTACTTTTCCATCTCTCATACAGCAGTGTTCGCTATAGTCATCATGTTGTATATCAATCCTTGCTAGTTTTTATATAACTGGAGGCTTGTACCTTTTGCCCACCTTCTTCCAATTCTCCCTTCCCCCCCCTCCACCTATGGTAACCAAAAGTCTGATCTCTTTTTCTATGAATTTGTTTTTAAAGATAGCACATATAAAGTGACATCATACAGTCTTTGTCTTTCTCTTTGACTTATTTCACTTAGCACAATACCTTAATGATTCATTCATGTTGTTGCAAATGGTAGATTTCCTTTTTTTATGCCTGAATAACATTCCATTGTGTGTATGTATAACTACAACTTTTTTTCTCATTTAAAAAAACTATTGAAGTGTAGTTGACGTACAATGTTATATAGGCTTTAGATGTGCAATGTAGTGATCTGAGAATTCTGTACATTACCCGCTGCTCACCGTTAAGTGTCACCATCTGCCACCATACAGTGTTACTACGATATTATTGACTATGTATCCTATGCTGTGCTTCTCATCTCTATGACTTATTTATTTTGTAACTGGAAGTTTGTTCTTAATCCCCTTCATTTGTTTTGCCCCACCCCCACCCCCCCACAACTACAGGTTCTCTATATTTAAGAGTCTGATTTTGTTTGTTTTTTAAGATTCCACATGTAAGTGAAATCATATGGTATTTGTTTTTCTCAGTCTGACTTATTTCACTTAGCATAATACCCTTTAGAGCCATCCATGTTGTCATAATTTTAAGATTTTATTTTATTTTTTATTTATGGCTAAGTAGTGTTCCATTGTAGATACACACACACACACACACACACACAGGGCACCTGGGTGGCTCAGTCAGTTATGTGTCCAACTTTAGCTTGGTCGTGATCTCACTGTCTGTGAGTTGGAGCCCCACATCGGGCTCTGTGCTGACAGCTTAGAGCCTGCAGCCTGCTTCCAATTCTCTGTCTCCCTTTCTCTCTCTCTCTGCCGCTCCCCTGCTTGCCCTCTGTCTCTGTCTTTCTCTCTCTCTCTCTCTGTCTCTCTCAAAAATAATAAACATAAGTTTATACACACACAGATGCACACATACATCATATTTTCTTTATCCATTCATATATCAGTGGACACGGGTTGCTCCCGTATCTTGGCTATTGTAAATAATGCTGCAATAAACCTAGGGTTGCAAATATCTTTTCGAATTGGTGTTTTCATTTTCTTTGGATAAATACCCAGTAGTGGAATTACTGGACTGTGTGGGAGTCCTTATTTTTAAGTTTTTGAGGAACTTCCATACTGTTTTCTATAGTGGTTGCACTATTTATATTCCCATGAATAGTACACACAGGGTTCCCTTTTCCCCACATTCTTGCCAATGCTTGTTATTTCTTATCTTTTTGGTACTAATCATTCTGACTGGTGTGAGATAATATCTCATTGTGGTTTTGGTTTGTATTTCCCTGGTGATAGTGATGTTGAGCATCACTAATGTGATACTTTTCATGGGTCTGTTGGGCATCTGAATGTCTCCTTTGGAAAAATATCTATTTCATCAGTGTCGTACAGTTTTCTGATTATGTAACTGTTTTCACCTCCTTGGTTAAATTTACTCCTACGTATTTTATTCTCTTTGGTGCATTTGTAAATGGGCTTCTTCTCTTAATTTTTCTTTCTGCTACGTATTAGCATATTAGTTTTAATAGATATCTGTATGCTAATTTTGTATCCTGCAACTTTACTGAACTCATTTTTAGTTCTAGATTTTTTGGTGAAGTTTTTAGGATTTTCTCCATAGAGTGTCGTGTCATTTGCAAATAGTGACAGTTTCACTTCTTAGCAGTTTGATTGGCTTTTATTTCTTGTGTGATTGCTATAGCGAGGACTCCCAGTACTGTGTTGAATATAAGTAGTGCAAGTGGACATCCGTGTCTCATTTCTGATCTTAGAGGAAGTGCTTTCAGTTTGTCGCTATTAAGTATGATGTTAGCTGTGAGTTTATCATGTACAGCTCTTATTATGCTGATGTGTGTTCCCGCTAAACTTAATTTGTTGAGTTTTTGTCACGAACAGATATATTTGTCAAATGATTTTTCTGCATCTCTTAGAGAATCGTATGGGTTTTATCCTGCCTGTTAATGATGTATCACATTGATAGATTTGTGAATATTGAATCACCCTTACATCCCTGGAATAAATCGCACTTCATCATGGTGAATGACCTTGTGAGGTATTACTGAATTCAGTTTGCTAGTACATTGTTGAAGATCTTTGCACCTATGTTCACCAGGGATATTGGTCTATAATTTTCTTTTCTTTTCTTTTTTTTTTTTTGTAGTGTCTTTGTTTTGCATATCAGGATAACGCTCTGCTTGTAGAATGAATTTGAAGGGATTTTTTTTTTCCTCTGGATTTTTGGAATGGTTTCAGAAGAATAAGCGTTAATTTTTATTTCAATGTTTGGTAGAGGGGCGCCTGGGTGGCTTAGTCGGTTAAGCGTCCGACTTTCGCTTAGGTCATGATCTCGCTGTTCGTGGGTTCGAGCCCCGCGTCGGGCTCTGTGCTGACTGCCAGCTCAGAGCCTGTTTCAGTCTGTGACTCCCTCTCTCTCTGACCCTCCCCTGCTCACGCTGTCTCTCTCTCTCTCTCTCTCTCCTAGAAATAAATAAAATATTTAAAAAAAATAAAATAAATAAATGTTTGGTAGAATTACCTGTGACATTATCTCCTTTTGGACTTTTGTTTGTTGGGAGTGTTTTGATTGTTCAGTTTTGTTAATAATCAGTCTGTTAAAATATTTCTTTCTTTCTGATTTCACTTTTGAAAGATTGTGTATTTCTAGGAATTTATCTGTTTCTTCCAAGTTGTCCAATTTGTTGGCA